CACCTCATTTGAGGGGGTAGAATGTTCAACCAATCCAAAAATCGAATCTCAGTTGTTAATAACTAATTCATACTAATTTTTTAATCATTACCCTTGTCAAAAAAAAAAAATCACTTGCCACCCTTTACGATTGCCACTGCCCAAGCAAAAAATTATATCATTTCTTCCTATCCACCTAGACCAAATAAAGACAAACCAAACCACCTTCCACGCTTTACGATTTCTACCTGCCCAAGCAAAAAATTATATCATTTTTTGCTATCCACCTAGACCAAATAAAGACAAACCAAACCGCCTGCCACCCTTCATACTTTCTACATGCCCAAAGCATGTTGGTTGAAGACATCTTTACAATTAGGTTAAAATTTTATTTTGATATTAAATTATTGTACGAATTTTTAATTTGATCTTTAAATTTAAAATATCTTTAATTTAACTCTTATTATTTATTATTTTTATCTCAATTTGGTTTTTTCGTTAAAAATCCACCATTAACTCACATGAAATTAATGATATATCAAAAATTTGAGACATGTAAGATAAAATGGATGACATGGTCACATGACATGGTATATTCTTTGCCACATGGAAGAAAAAGTGGAACCCAACAAAATTACAATTTTACCTTCATCTTCTTCCTCCATTATCCTCTTTCTCAAATCTTCTTCATTTATCCTTCTTTTTCTCTCTCTCTTTGCCTCCTCCGAGTGAACTTTCATCCACAATTTTCTGAATCAAACAATTAATTCAACAAAATGAAATTTCATTTTTCATCAATCAATTCTTTTTCATCATTAAACAACAAAACCCACAAAAAAATATATATATATATATATATATATATATTTAACCTTTCTTGCTATCCACATAGACCAAATAAAGACAAACCAAGCCACCTGCCACCTTTTACGATTTCCACCTGCCCAAGCAAAAAATTATATCATTTCTTGCTAATCCACATGGACCAAATAAAGGCGAACCAAATCACCTACCCCCCTTACTCGGATCTTTAGATTTAATGGTTCGATCTCAAACTTTAAGTGTTTGGGTGAGGTGGTCGAAGTTTTGAACTCTATCACCGTTGTGAACTTCACCAAAAAGC